AATGGATACACGTCGCGTTGCGGTCAGTAAAGTGCGTTATTTGAATGCGTGGATGCACCGCTTTCCACGAGAGCGATCTTCATTTCTTGCGCCGAGAGTACTTTCCGATAGAAACGGCAGCGATGCATGTAGACCTGACATTGAAATCTCTACACTAAGAGAAAGAGAGAAAGAGAGAGAGAGAAGAAATATTTTAAAAATAAAAAAATATCTATTTACAACATTTACAAACATTTTTACTTTTATTTAAATAAACTTATATAGATGATCATTCAGATGAAGTTTTTTATATAATCTTATGTTTATTAGATAATAAAAATATATATTATTTTAATCTGCATCTTGAATGAGAAGAAATATTATCTTTATCAAATTATGTAGGATGATATTCATCTATCATCAGTATAAAGTGATAACAAATTTATGTATCTCGTAAAAATCATTAATCGGATAGCAGATATAAAAACTCTTGTTTTTGCCTAATAAATACTTATAAATAAAAATATATGAATAGATTTTTAATTCCTTTTATAATTTACAATCTTCTTTTATAACAATTTTTTTTATATTAATAGCCTTAAAACAATATTATTTGAAAGTTATCTAGATATTTATCGCGCTATATAACTTTATCTTTTGTTTGGATATATTTCAAATAAAATCATCTTATCTAAAATAAATATATATATTTTTATTTTATCTTTATCTAGTTAATTTAAAATCATCTGAGCGCAATACTAGCTCTACTGTAAGAACATATTTATTTTTATATTAATATATTTATTTTATAGTAAGAAAACTAAAAGTAAAATATTATTTTTATTAAGAATTTAAATTTTTTAAATACGAGAATATGCATTTGGTTAAAAACTTAACAATAACTTTCCATAAAATCAATAGTTTATTCTATATATTACTGTTTATTCTATTTAAATCAAACAACTTAGATTTATGTATGTTATCCGTCGGAAAAATTTGTTTAAATTTTTCTTTTAGTGTACGCATGAAGTTTCATTGTTCTAGATCGCATAAAGTATTTCTTTGTACAGTCAGTGGTACAAAAGCATGTAGGTTGTTTCTCCTAGAATACAAAATCTTTTTTAAAATTATGAACACAATCTTAATGCACGTTACATGAACTAAAATGCGTTTACTTAATACGACGTTCAGTCCTTTTTATTATTAAGTATGTCTTAGCAGCGTCGAGGCATGTTTTCAACGATATTTTTCGGAATACAAACGTGAAAACAGTATAATTACAATGGAGATTGATCCTCATAGTCTCCTGACGCTAATCCTACTGAAAATATATTGGCGACCATGAAGATAAAGCTTCGCGAAAAACGAGTTGTCATTTTGAAACAGTTGTTGTATGAACTTCGCACAATATAGAGGTCGCCATCCGAGACATTAGCGGAAAATCTCGTTGAGAGCATGCCTGGACGCTGTCAACGCATACTCAACAATGAAGGGCTGGATGTCGTAAGGTAACTGCATTTTAGTGAATATAATGTACATTGAGATTGTGTTCATAATTTTGAAAAAGACTTTAGAAATTTTAGGAATTTTTATTCTAGGAAAAACAATACACAGTCGTGGACTGAAAATCCTTGTCCTTAATTTTCGGAGTGAATTTGTGAACTCAATCGTTTTGTACAATGAGAGAATTCGTTTTCTAACGGGAGAATGTTCTTATTCGACAAGACGGATGAGTTCACAAACTCACCCCAAAAATTACAGACAACTTTTTAGTCCACGACTGTACATGATTTTTTGTGTCACTGACTGTAATAAACTCTAAAACTGTATGATTTCATGCGTGAAGACTTCAATGCCTGTCTATGCAGTTCGACGAACGGTTGTGTAACGATTGAGTGCACAGACAAAAAAACTTGAAAATTTATTTGTAAGCTATACAGTTTATTTATAGAAAAAACTTTATTCCACAGAAATAAATTTTATATTTCACAAATAAATTTTCAGATATTTCTTCTCAGTGCATCGAAATTCGCCTGCGATCGAGAACGCGGGAGTAAAGAGTCCAACGCAAAATGCAACTGGTTTTTCGCTGCGCGGTTACAGCCTCGCCAGTGAAATCTCTCTGTGATCGTCGAGGAAGATAGACGAGGATTCGCTATGCAACGGACGCTCTGCAATGGCCTGATTACATCAGGTGCAATAGTTTCATTAAATCTGCATACTCACTCGCGCTAGAGTGATTCGCATGCCCACCACGATACGTGCATCGGATCCGGAGAAATTTCGAAACGATTCCAATCCAATGTTGATCGACGCGTCGCGGAAATGCGTGCGAGATTGATGATGGAGCCGGGAAGATTAGCGAGATTTCCCGGACACACAAAGCGCGTCTAAGTGAAAATAACTATATTCTTCTTTTCTGTCTCAGTGAATAAACATCCATAACAGTTTATAAATAATTATATATGTATTTACGGTATTTATTTATTTATTTACTTACGTAATTGATTTATTTATGTTTATTAGTCTTATTCTTCTACTTTCAGTTAAAATTTTTGTCCCTGACATTACGACGTTATTATAATTATTATAATCATTATGAATTATTACATTTTATAAACAGTATTTTCAATTTTTTAGATTAAAAATTGAGTCTAATTTCTATATTTTTTATTAATTAAATGATCCTAACAAGTCAATTAATGACATAAATAATCAGTAGTGTAACAATTGTACCTAATACTCTAGAATATCTTCTTTTACATGGAGATAATGGTGTTGCATCAAACATCTACTTTCCTCAACCGACGGGGAAATCATTGGGTGAATTTCTCACAGAAATTGCCATAAACTCGAGTCGTTCCGTCGCCAACAGCCGTAACGACAGAGATTTCTTACGACAGCAAATACAAATTTTACGATTTTTCCGCGGGCGACATTTTCAAGACATATGAATAATGAAGCGATTACTTTCACCGCGGTTCTTTGGGGTTCGTATAATTCATTTAGACACCAACACCGTCCCGATGATAATTCTACGAACGGCGACATTTAGATTTTCCTTGGTAAAACAAATTCATCGTAACACAGACCGTCTATATATCGAAGTGAGTATAGGAACTGGCGATTTCATCGCCGCGCGATTTCTGGGTCATCATACTTGAATTAATATACTGTGAAGCTGCGAGTAACTTCCATTACGAAGCGTTATCCCCAACGCGAATGTATCGTCTTTCTGTGTTCTACGACTTAATGGAAAACGATGCAAAAATTCACGACACTGTCTCGCCATCTTATCATGGAACTGTGCGCACGAAATTGAGTTGAGATGAAAGGCGCGCAGGCACGAGACTTGTCCGAGTCACTTCCAGTTCAATAATAATTCAAGACGTACCGTGATAAAATTCCATTTCGCGTCCTCCGTTACGCTTCCGTTATGTAAATTTTTTGCAGACTGTCCGAAGAAAGTTTCGATGCGGGAGAAAGTTACGGTGGCGCGATGAGGTTTATTAAAGAAAAATGAAAGTAATTCCCGAAAATTGTCAAGTCACAGGACGGTGCCGAATTTTCCGGTCAATTCGTGACTCGACCAAAATGACGAAGCGTTCTGTATAGCAACAGCGGCACATTAATTGGACGATCTTCACGATCAAATGTGCCATAGTTCATAAATAAACATTCAGAAATTGGTTTCTCCTAGTGTGACACATTGAGTATCGTGCTAATCATTCTTATTGATTATTTTACAGCTCGACATTAATGTTTGAATAATTATAAATAATCGTAAATAAATGTGGCTCATGAAATATAAGATGTTTCAGTAAAGGTGGACAATCCTTTAGAGGCCTAAGAATAGGTGAAAATAATTTTACATAATTTTACATAATTTTACATAATTTTACTTTTTTCTACAACGCACCTTTGCGGAGATATTCGCTTCCAAAATAAAGCAAGAATATCTGTTTTTAGAAAAAGATTTGAGAAACGTGTTTTAAGAAAGTGTTTTAAGATTAAAAAAAGTTTGAATAAGTAAGTTTTACTTGTCGCCTTTCAAATATGCTTTTTATGAAAATAAAATTTGCTTTTTCAAAATTAAACAAAAACATCTTTTCTAAGGTTTGCAGAATCTAAGAAAGTGTTTTAATTTAAAAAATCCTACTCACACTTCAAAGTTTCAGGATTAAATAACTTAGGGATGATCAGACTCTCGGTTTTTTGACATAATATAAAAAATATATCAAACTATTCTACTACTTCGCTTAATATAAAAATAACACAAAAATTATCAAAACCTAAGCTAAGCAATATAAAAATTATTTTTATGAAATAACTGCTTCTCAGATTTTAATTTCGGAGACTAATATATCTCAACAGGGGAAATTCTTATATAAATTTATAGGATTATTTCCATCTAGTCTATACGTTTACGAGGGAGATTATCTTTATTAAAACATCTATATGTCTGTTATTCCGAATCATATATTGTCTCGTTATTATTAATCATATATTTAACTGGTTATAAATAACTATTAATCATAATCATGTGTGTCTTATATGTAAATTGCAAAGAGAATATTATAGCTTCTTTATATGAATTTTTTTTCAATTTTACTATGATTTTTGATAGTGTAAAGATAGTCAATAGAGTTTATCTTGCTAAGCAATATAATAAATGTTACTAAAGAGCAACTTTGTTAATTGTAGATTGCAATTTCTAAAATAAATTGTTGCTAATAGCAATAGATTTATCAACTGTTTTTAATATATTGCTAAAATATACTGCTAGCACATATGAGTTGGAAGAACAAAAAATTAAAATAATATGTCAATATATATGTTCTTTGGGGTTACAAAGTTTTGTAATAATTTTTTACAATAACTTTTTCTTTTTCCATGTAGTAAGACGCGGCTGTGTCACAATATCTATCACCAGTGACCTTTGTGACATTCAACGTAATAATCGAAATGTATAAAAGCAAATGTAGAGCGAAGTAATTCAATATCTCGCTCACAATACTCACTTGTTGGAGATGCGGCAATTCGGGCCCATTCAAAATCGCGGGGTCGGCTTCGGCAACAACGAAGACGTCCGCTCTCAGTACTAATGCGGTCCACAGGAAGCACAAGAGGTATTTCCGCCTCATCACGCCGCTTAATTCTGCTCGAGGATTTCGATCGACGATTCACACAACGGCGAAGCACCTGTTGCTATCCGTCTAGGCGAGAGTTTCACCACCGGTACATCAGAGTCGACGTCGATATTGACGAAGTACTTTTGGTAGCTAATGAGCTAGTTGACGATCCTCGGAAACGGAAACTCACCTCTCCTATCGATCTCACTCAATGCAAAATCAAATGAGAAGAAAACGTTGTCTGACCGTTTATTTCGATCTTCGCGATCTTACCGTATTCGGCTCTAATCTTGCGACAGAGAGAGAAAGAGAAAGAAAGAGAAATAGAGAGAAGAAGAGCGAGAGAGGAAGAGATGTTGCTGCTCGCGTCTTCCGGGATACCAGGACTCGAGTTTGTCTTCTTCGTCCGGGAAGAGGCGAGAGCGGGAAGAGGGTAAGCGCGAGGATGCGTCAGCTGCTGGCTGGGCTATTGCACGAGTTCACACGTCGACAAGGAGGACGGGTCCGGGACTGTTGGAGATCGGAAAACGTCCGAGAGTTTTACCATTCCGGCGAGGGAAGAGTTCCTGCGCTCCGTCGCGGTGGGAGACAGCCAGGTAGGACGGTGAACGTCAACAAAGAAGGAACCCACTTCTTCCTCTCGGCTATTTTCCCTCCCGCTTTCGTATACGCGAGATACGCACCGTGATATCGATCAAATGACGATAAAAAGAGAGGGATCGCTCTCTCTCTCTCTCTCTCTCTCTCTCTCTCTCTCTCTCTCTCTCTCTCTCTTTACCCCCTTCTCTGCCGCGTGCGATGACATAAACCGAGAGTCGGAAGGAATCGGCAGGAACGAAACGAAATGTTGCGGCAACCCGGAATATTAAAGCGGAATAAAAAGTAACTACCCAGATAGACTTTCATGTTTATCACGGCGTGAGACAATCAATTATAAAACCTTTACCATTTCTAATTACGTTTATGAAGCAACTATATCGTACGAAATTAATTGACAAAATTACATCATAAAGTAATAAAATAACTAAATAAATAATTACATCGTAAATCATAAAATAATGAAAATTATTTGTCACATTGTGATGCAACGATAAATTTATTAAAAGTTACACTCAGATTTCTGTATTACATTTTTATATGACATGTAAATGACTTGCTTTAGGCAAGTTATGATAATCTTTTCGTCTGTTCTATTTCATTCTATAGGATAAATATGAATGCCATAGAAAACACTCAGAAGGAACGCAAACTTTATAAATTGATTAATAAAGTTGTCAAAGACTATTAGTGACTATTAAAGACTTTGTGACTGAATAGCCATAGACGGTGCTCCACAATTTGTTCGTATTTGACTTTCCAATTAATTTTATTATAAAATTAAAGATAATCACGAATAAATTATAAATATACAAGTTTCAAAGTATACTCTTTTATTGTCCCCAGGAAAATGGACTTCAAACACTTCAAAATTTGATCGTTCCCAACGAGAATTTGAGTGAAATGACTCTTGAATTTGAAATTTTTGGAGCACATTTTCTTGGAAACAATAGAAGGAACAATATATTTTGAAACTCATGTTATAATAAAATTAATTGGGAAATCGAATACAAGGAGCACTTTTTGCGTACACCTGTCCATCTAAACCCCAAATTTTTTATTATTATCATGACGTGATAATTTTATTATTATCATGACGATTAATAATAGAAATTTTCAATTTAAATTACATTTATGAAATAAAAATATACTGTAGTGAATTGATCGTTAGGTTTGCAACATGCAATAATATAAATTTTATGTTATATTAATGTAGCTACAAATCCAATAAAAATTACACTCCAATTGTTACATTATATTTTATATGACATCTAGTTTTGCATAAATTTTGATAATTTCTTTCTGTATTTCTTTCATATTATATTTCATCATTCTTTGTATGTTATTCTCATATTCTAAATATGAGAGTCACATGAGCTACTCAGAAGGAACGTAACTTTCACAAATTGATGAATAAAGTTGCTGCAAATATACGTACGGTCGCAGACAAAAAAGTTATCCGTAATATTTAGTGTGAGTTTGTGAATATATTCAATCCGTCTTGTCCAATAGGAGCGTTCTCCCACTGGAAAACGAATTCTCCCATTGGACAAGATGAAGAATTCACAAAATTATTCTAAACAATACGGACAACTATTTTGTCCGTGGCCGTGCACCTGTTTACTTGAGATAGCTTATAGGCCGTATGTGAATGAGTTTAACCAACAAAGATAAAAGTTAAATTGTTGTTTGCAAATTATTTACGAGTTCCGTAGAAAATCTGGTATTTAGAAATTACACTTGTGATGTAAAGTGTAGGCAATCATTCACGATCAAGATCCTATCTTGCGCGCGTAAGGTTACGTGTGCATTGAGGGAATTACGTGCGCTTCAGTTTAATAGATTATACGTCTGAACTTACGAAACATTCAGGTTCACTCGCGAGAACGAGTCTGTCGTCGGACGATGACGACGACAACGATTGAGGAGACATAAGCGAAATCACTCGGTCCATCTAGAAAATTCACGCCGATAAAAGCGATTACTAAAAGGGGAAATGCCATACTTGAAAACTTTACTGACGAGATATTGACTATAAAGTTTATTAGGTGTATTGGTTGCACTGGATTGCAACCGATTTTCGGTCAAAATTTTAATATTTCTTTGCATTTAAAACTGAAACTATTGCAAATATCGTTTTCATCGTGGTTTACTTTTTGGAAAAATTTATCTTTCATAAGTATGTCAAAGCGATATTTTTAACAATTTCTTAGTAATTATTTTCTTACAAAATGTATTTTCTAGGGAAACGAGTTTAAAGATTTACGTTATGTTATTTTATGTTTAACTGTAGATTATTTTACTATTTATCTTTATTAGATTTAAATAGTCTGTAAAGCCATCGATTTTTCATTACTTAAGCTATTCTTCAAAGCTTCAAATTTTATAAATATTAAAAAAAATTATCCAACTTAAAAAGATAGAATATCCTCTTAACACTCTAAGTCACAAATTTTTCTGTACAATCCTTCTTTTTCCTTCCTCTCTTTTTCCTTTGTTCAATCAATATCTGGGAATTTCTAGAGTCGCTAATTACGAATTTTAAGTCAGTTTTTGAAAACTTAAAATGGCGGGTCCAATATGGCGGACAACAATTTTAAAACTTTCTCGATTTACGTGAAAATTGGTATCCGAGGGTTTTTCGGCGTTGCAAATCACGAATTCGAAATCACATTTTTGAAATTCAAGTTATTCACAGACCTCACTCATTTACGGAAAGTAATATAACTTATCCCGATTGTTGGTATTTTGTCATATTGAGTTCGCCATCTTGAATTTTGAAATTTTTGAGGGTGCATCATCATTTGCAGCTCAAAAAGTATCTACCAAGCCATTTTTTCCATAGGTTTATTTTGCAATAATTTTGGCAAATAAATAAAAAGAAAAACCATTTTTTTTAGAATAATTTGTTCGAATAATTAAATTCGCAAAATTTAATGTTCTATGCAGATGATCCTGTTAGAAGAACATCTAAGCTGCACAATGAATCCACATTTACCGTCTCGAAGTCTCTACAAATTAGTTTAAATTCGTAAAAACTACTCTAAGAAATGTGTATCATATATGATTTAAAGGGTTAAACCCCAGGGAGATCAAAATCGAGTGCTCTAACGGGCCCATCGATCCATCATGGTTCTGGCTCTGGGCCCGATGCGTTCCGCAGAGCGAGCAAATGCGCGACGTAGCGTTTTACAGCCGCCTTTTTCGCGCGCTCGCGCTTCCGATACCAACGTTCATTATCGAGCAAAATACCTTGCACTTATTCTGCGGCACGAATCGCGGAAACGTCGTACGCTATTAACGTCGTCGCGACGAATTTCTCTGGTCTATCCCCCCTCTTCGTTCTCGGTCGCTCGAGTTCTCTGGAGCGAGTTTGCTAATCCGGAGTATTATCCTTCTCACACAGGAGAGGGATTACGGCCTCGTTGGTGCATTACAGTGGACTATTGCGCGAATTTGCATAAGAGCTTTCACGCAAAAAATTGAAGCGCTCGCAGAGCGACCGACTAGCGATGCGGCGCGCGATGATGTTTTGCCAAAGCGTAGAAAATAAGAGAAATCGCAAAATGGATTAGGAAGTTCGCCAAAACAGCGACTGTTTCCGACTTGACATATACTCGACTGATACGACTTGTGATGCTTACTTGCCGTCGATCGCCTTTAAATTTGAATTCGAGAGGCCGTTTAACGCGCGTGCTACAATTTCCCAAATAAATTTCATTGTCACGTAACGATCAATGTGTATGATGAAAAGTTTATAATTTCTTTTATTACATTTTTATGAGGCAAATGTTATATAGGCAGTATTAATAATTTTACTTAAATTATATAATAAAATATGAATTTTTTATTATATAGAAACGATTTTATTCTTTAAATTATATTTATGAAACAAAAATATTGTGCTGAATTAATTGTTATGTTTGCATCATGCAATATTTTATGTGATATTGATAAAACTACATATCTGATAAAAATTATACTCAAATTGTTACATTATATTTTATATGACAGTATTAAAAGTTATTTTCAAATTTCTATGTCACATTTTACATGACACATTTTATATATTGTTCTGAGTGAATTTTGATCATTTTTTCGTATATGATAAATATGAGTGAGATATGAATCACTCATAAGAGATGCAACTTTTACAAGTTGATTAGTAAAACTGCTGCAAAATTTACATATACATATCTATATATCATACGCAGGGTTGGGAAGTAACGTGTTACTTGTAACGACGTTACTATTTCGTTACTTTTTTTTTGTAACGATTTGGTAACGCCATTACTTTTTTGTATCAGTAATGAAAAAGTAACGGCGTTACATTTTCTTTAGTAACGAGTAACGAAATTCATCGTTACTTGTATCGTTATTTTTTTACTATAGTGGCTTCTGTACACAGAACGCGGCAACACTTTCCACGCGACGAAAGTTTGCACACGATAAACAATAAATATGCTGCTTCCGCCCATTCTACAATAAGCAATAAATCTTAAGTCATAATAAAATTGACCAATCATAGTCGACTATTAGAAGAATAATCCACTGTAATTGGTCAATTTTATTGCAACTTAAACTTATTGCTTATTATAGAAAGCCTCTAAAGCATGGTCTACAATGAGAACTTAAGCCTTAAAATTTAAGCTTTAAACTCTAAGCCGTAAGAAATTGACCAGTCACAGTCAATTATTTTTCTTATAATTGACTGTGATTGGTCAACTTCTTACGGCTTAGGAATTAAAGCTTAAATTTTATGTCTTAAGTTCTCATTGTAGACCACGCTTAACCCTTTGCGACATACATTTTTCTATCAAATTAATTTCACAGATAAATGTATCTTTAGAGGTTTTTTGGTAATCGCTTATTACGAATCCGAAGCCAGATTTTCAAAATTTAAAATGGCAGATCCAATATGGCGGACGAATTTTAGAAAATTATAGTATTTGTATGAAACCTAGTATCTAGTGTT